CCATTGGCCCTCTTGGCCACCTGGGCACACTGCTGGCTCATGTTCAGGCGGCTGTCAACCAACACCCCCAGGTCCTTTTCAGCCAGGCAGCTCTCCAGCTACTCCTCCCCTAGCCAAGCTTTGTTATTGTTGCTTTATCAGGTGAGATGGGATGTAGAAATAATCTAACAAGTCCAGTAACTTTTTACTGTGTAAAAGACTTTGTGCATTGGAAAACTGAAAATACTTCCGTGCCGTTTCCCATACAGATGTTAAATTCTTTTTGGAAAAGCATTAATGACTTCAGGATTTCTGCAGTGCATGTCTCTGTCAAACATGTCCAGCTGATGCATTTCACTTTAATGTTCAAAACCTGTAATTTTGGACTATGATAAATATAACTGTATGCCTGTACCTTTGTAAGACTGGGGAACTTCCCCTCTCTTAACTCATCTTTTGAACTACCAAGTGCCTAGTATTTTTTGCTAATGAAGCTGCCCATGGTATTTGTGTGGCTTCCATGGCTCTTTCTATTTTCATACCTATTCCCTTTCACAACTGAGCCCCATGTAGCTTTAGCCAGCTGACTGTACTCTGCCTTGACCAGCTGCCGCTGCTTCTGCCAGTCTCCTGCTTAGATGCCGGCCACCCTGGTCCCAGCTGCATCCTGCTGTGAGGTGGCAGCCTGGCAGCAGGGATTGCATGTTCCTAAGCGGCATGGTGCTTGGTGCAAAGGTCGTCCGGTTTGGTGTTTTATCGGTAGAAGGTGTGTGAAAACAGGATATTTCCATGTAGCTGTGTTAGCTTCGCCATGGGACTCTGAGGGTTAAAGGATGTTTCACTTCAAACACTGGGTATCAATTATGGATATAATTGGCGTGTCTTCAAAACTTATTTTAAGATAGCTAGTGTATTTTATTATGGGAGGAAAATGTATGAGTGGATTATATCCAGTTGTATAATGCGATCACGTCCTGGTCTCCAGTGCATCTTGCTAATGCAGTAGCAATGGGGGTTTCCCATCTGCTTGTGCGATGAATTCACTGAAGGACAGTCTCTGAGCCTAAGAAGATATAACGTCTATTGGTGTCCCCCTCTCTATTCTCAGCTTAGTAGCAGTATAGATCTGGCTTTGTGCCACTGCTATGCATAAGCTCATCTGTACAGCTTTCAGTCTGGCGTCTAATTTACTACAGGATTTCTGGCTGGTGCTGGTTAGATCAGTTTTTAACAGTCTTCCTGATGTATTCTGTGAGCCCAGCTCTTCCTAGGTGTGAGGGGAGTGAGAGCAGCAGGCGGCTTTGGCTGCTTGCCTCGTAAAGATGTCTCTAGCCGTAACTGGTAGTGCAAGTGGCTTGGAGGTGACTGGCCCTAACCTGTCACTTTGTGCAGAGCTGCGTTTCTGTTGCATCCGTCATGTGTAGCTGTAAAATGCTCTGGGGTTGTTAGGAGCATGCTTGTATAAACATCTGTATTTAAACTGTCAGCATTTGAAATTTCACTAAGTAGATTTATTTTGCTGAGGGGGTTTCTTCCCCTGTGTTCTCTTTGAGTACGTATTTCTCTTTTCTAAATAAAATACAGATTAATCGTCCAGTTACTTTTTAATGATCTTCTTGCCGCTGTGCTCTCTTGATCATACAGAAAGAGGGCCGGAGGCGAGCCGCGCACTGGTGTCACAGCTACTACCTGCTGTACCTTCTCTTGCATTAAAACTATTTTTCCACTCTGAACTTGAAGGGAATGAGGTGTGTTCTTTTGGTTGGCTTTTTTGTGCTACAGTTTGGTTACTCTTTACACTATGCAATAAAGATAAATCTGTTGGGGGTTTTTTGTGATGTGTGGTAGGATTTTTTTTTTCTTTGTTATACCTCATTTATTCTCTAGTTCTTACCTGTTATCTTCATTTACCATCTGGGGAAACAGATCTATGGATGCAGAGTGAGGGTCACAGGGAGCAAAACCAGCATTGACTACTGACTTGTCAACAAAACGATCAAACATCCATCTTCATCTCGCAGTTGTCTGGAACAAGGATTAAATCGCAGATCATCCTAAGGTGACAGGGGAGCCTTTAGTAAGTAAGTGGGTATCAATTTGTTTACTTACCAGACCAAAACCACTTTGACTGCCTTTGTATGTTCTCTGTGCAGAACTGGAGTCTTGTTCTTTTCTTAGTACATTGTAAAAGGAACGGTGCTCAGTTAAAACCTTGTGCTTTGGCAGCCTCCTGGCATGGCCCTTCCATTAGGTTACAAATTATTTTCTGTCATTGTGTTTGATGCATCTATTATTGATAGGGTTTTCTGGTTGGATTTTATCTAGGCTGGCTGAGTAATTCTTATGTTCCTGAATCTCAGGTCTCTTATGGTTGTTCATTTTTTTACCTTACTTTATTTTTGTTTCTGTGAAATGTGGAAAATGCTTGCAAAAGTCACATAGCTGGCTTCTTTGTGCATGTCATCCGAATTTTAGTTGCAAAGTTTGCAGGGTACGCAGGAGATTGTGCAACAAACATTGGTTGCTTGCTTAGAATTGCCAGGCAAAAAAGCTGCATCCTTGCTGCAGCTGTAAAATATTGTGGCAAACATCACTGTTCCAGCTCAGGTGTGGCCACATGTTTTCGGCGGTCTTTATTTGCCGGCCATGGTGCATCTACTCAGTTCTGTCCTTAGGCAGGTGACATGTATTTCATGTGTCCTAGTGTTTAGCCTCTCGTGCAACTCGGGGTTTACGTGTTAGAGGTGTGAATGAGGGCGAGGAAGACAAAACACAAACCTGAGTATTTTGTTTGTCACTTCAGGCTGATACCAGATTGTATAAATTCATCTGTAGTTTTGGTGTGCTTCGGGCCTCTCTTCCTCTGCAGGAAACTGATAGTGATGATTCACTGCAAAATGTTTATGAAGCATGTACACTTGTAAGGCTCATCATTATACCTTGAATGTTATTTGAAACTAGAAACTTAAGTACAAGAGTAGCAAATCAGCCTCATGGATTTTTAACTCTCTTCCAGGACTCATAGTTGGTGTCATCTTGAGATATGGGACTCCCTCTACCAGTGGCCATGACAAGCCATTCAGCTGCTCGCAGGACAGGCCGTTTACAACCCTGCTGGTCAACGTCAGTGGGAAGTTCTTTGAGTATACGCTCAAAGGGGAAATAAGCCCTGGGAAGATCCACAATGTGGAGCAAAACGACATGTTGCGAAAGGTGAGGGTAGACCATTTCTGAGTGTTTCTCCTTTAGCTGTGCTTCCCTCCCTCCTCCCCACACCATCCCATTTGAATGTTGGGTAGTACCAAGTGTCTGTATTCCTGATAGTAACAGCACTTCAATGCTTAATTCAAAATCACCTTCTGTATTATATTGCTGCTGGCACAACTGTGCTCCGTTGCATGTATGTAGTGCTTTCCCAAAGCCCTTGGCTGCTGTTTGAAGACTTAATGTATGTTTCTAATGTCTAGAATTCACGAAGACCAGCTGAACAAAAAAAAGCCTGATGCTGCCTTGTATAATACAATATAAGGAACATGATCTTTTCTTAGTGAAAAATGATTGTTTCTCAGTGTTTTTGTTTTTTTTTTTTCCTAGGGTTTTTTAATCTGTTTATCGTCAGGAAATAGTTACTGCTTATGTCCCTATAATCCACCAAATGAGACAGTCTTGTATTGGAAGTGAAATTCATCTATTAATTGTTACTTAGATCTGCTATTTGGCTTCTTATTCTATTCAGTGTCAGGAATTAACCACCTTTTGTGTGTATCAAAGCTAGACTTTGAAGTATAGGATTGAGATTTTAGGCTTGTAACCTAAAAATCCTTCTTTCTGCTGACTATGAAGAGAGCTTAGGTGGCTGTTTATACGTACCTGTCTGCTATAGATATTTAAAGTTAGCTGAAATGAATCATATTCTGGGAGTGCACACTTGTGTTTGTCTTCTAACCTGTGCTTAGACAGGGGTGAAGAGAGCCTAGTTAGTCTCACATGTGTGCAGGTCTTCTGTTTGGATTTCAAATGTTGTTTTTTGTTCCTTACTCTAGTGTAGTCTTTCATGAATATCTGGAGCTTCCACTGAAATACGTGGAAGTGATGGATGATCCCAGTTCCTGAAAACCAGTCTTGTATCTGACTTGATTGGCTTACAACAGCTGTGCAGGGGCTAGACTTGAGGGGCGCAGAGGGAAAGCTTAAATAGCATCTTATCTGCAAATATATATTAATATAACTTATCGCAAAAAGAGATATCTTCTCCAATAATTTCTATTAGAATTTTTTAATTTAAAAAGGGGACTGTGTTTGGGACTACTGCAAGACTATCATTGGTGATGGATGTAATGTCTGTTTTTTCTAGATGCTGTTTACCATGAAGAGCTGCTGCTTTTTGCTGCTGTATATGTATAGAGCTGGCCAGTATTTTGGAGGGTCAACTTAGCCAGTTGTTTGCTATTTCAACAATCAAAAATGGCAGTTGTGAGAAAATAAAAGGGGAAAAAGACCTAACAATTTGTGTATGTCTGTTTCTAATTGAAGTTTCATGTTTTATTTTTTAGGTAACGTTTGACCCAGAAGTTTTTTTCAACATTCTGTTGCCTCCTATTATTTTTCATGCTGGTTATAGCCTGAAGAAAGTAAGTGTAATATTTTTCTGAGGAGTATAGCCTTTTTTCTTTCTTTAATGTGAGACTGCTGATTTGTTCATGAAATGGAGTACAGTCTGCATTTCAAGCATATTTTTTTTATGGCAGTTAGAAAAATCTCATGACCTCCATAGATGGTTAGGTCATATTGTTTTAAGAGAAAATACATGTGCTTTTTACTATAAACACATTAAACTCTATTTAATCTTGCTGATTTGTTTTCCTTTGAACATTGCCAGAGGTTAACATTAATTTCATTTAAATTAAAAGATGTCCTGCTATGAATTGTTTTGGTCCTTCTCAAATGTCCAAAATGCAGTAAACTATGCTGAGAAGTAGACCCAAACCTGAATCCCTGTGGGGATGTGCCAGCTGCTGAATGGCAGAAGGGCCCAGATTCTTCTCTCTCTTGAAGATACCATGAATTGGTGCTGTGTTTCAGTTTTGCAGCTACCTCTTACATCTCTTATGAAAACATCTGTGTGGAAAGCTTCCTGTCAATAAGCTCCATGTAGGATTTAATACACGATTCAGATTTGGTTTATTCAATTTATTGAAGTTGGACAGAATTTACATTGGAGTAATGGAAGCATTTCTTTGAAATGGAGGGGTGTTTCTGTGTATTAATGCAAGTGTAGTATAAAGTGCTGTATGTTTTTGAACAGGTGATATAACTAGTTTTAAATAAGCATGTAAACATCTTTCCTATGCAGAGACACTTTTTCAGGAATTTGGGGTCCATTTTGGCTTACGCGTTTTTAGGAACAGCAGTCTCTTGTTTTATTATTGGGTAAGTGAACTCTGTGGTATCATTCCTTTCTATACTAAAGTTTAAGTTGATTAAGTATATGTTGAGCGTTCCAGATTGCCTCAATTTTGTAATTTGTTTGTTTGAGGATTTTATTTGTGTATCCTCCAGACAAAACACAAATGTAACTTTTGCTGAGATTTATCCCGCCTTTAAACAATACTGTCCCTTGAAATGATATTGTCAAGTTTGAATCACTTGGCAAGTCCACAGTACTGAACAGCGGAGTTGAGTTTTTGATGTAATGGTCCACTCCAAAACAAAACCTTGTTAGACTCTTACTGGAATTGATTTAACTTGAATTGTGGATGCTACTTGTAACAGAATTTTAGCTATCAGACTTTTAGACATGTCCCTTTCAATGCCCACATGCATGCATGTGCTCTCTCTCTCTGCATATGTGTGTATATGTATAATTTTGTGTGTGTATGTACACACACATTTAGTTTAAGGTAGCTAGTCGTGTCGGTTTACTTGCATACAATCTCTTATGCTGCTAATATTACTGTGTCTGGTGTATGGATATTCTGAAACACAGATATCCTGAATTGCATAGGTGACCTTCCTTTGTCTCTCAAAGAATTCTGCTAGAGAAATATTTTGAAGGCTACTCTGAGCTCAGAGCTTTTGGCCTATGTACTGTGTTGGATGAAGCAATACTGAGGTGAATTTTGAGCAGGAAAATGTCCCCTTTGGTGGAAAAAGGAAGCAACCTGTAGATTCTGTGTACTAGTTGTGCAAACAGATTTCACGCTTTGCTTACTGGTTTTAAATTTTTATTTTCTGGATCGTGTATCACCTGACTCAGTCCATAGGGAAAAGAGGAAAATTAATTCTGAGAGCTTAGTGTTAAATGGGCCGTGTCCCACAGAGCTGTAGCATAACCAAGCCTGCCTGAAATATTGTTGCTTGTGCTTTTCCTTTGCCTGTCTGAAATGCACCAACTTGTTTGACTTGGACTGTTTTATCCTCTTTCTCTTCAGGAATCTCATGTATGGGGTTGTGAAACTAATGAAGTTGGTGGGTCAGCTCTCTGATAAATTCTATTATACAGACTGCCTCCTCTTTGGAGCGATAATATCTGCCACTGATCCAGGTAGCTTGCTGAACATTTTTTAATAACCTTCCAAAATAATCCTATTGCTAGGATTGTTGGATGCATAGCATGAAGATATTAACAGCACTTTATTTTCAGTTATGTTATGCTAGTTTCTCTGATCCTCTCCTCTGAAATGCGTACAAATTCTGAGTGTTGTGAAAGCTGTTCTTTGTCGGTTTGGTGCTGGACTGGTATGACACGATGGTATGTTTGGGGGAAAAATGTAACTTTCCTGTTCAAATACTTCAAATATTTTTTTTTCTCCCCAGTAGGTTTTTTGTTTAGTGTGCATCAAGTTTAAGCCTGCAAATAGATGAAATTATTACATTGTCTGGATAGCAAGACTTCCTTCTTTAGCTACGTTGCTTGGGACATTGGGTAATTTAAGAGCAATATTTGAGGCTTTTAGGTGTGGGGAATTTTTTTTTTCTCCTTCAAATGAACTTCATGTTTTACAAGTTTAAGCAGAAGAATGCTCTTCTGGCAAAGTAATTTGAGCTTTTGCCAAAATAATCTAGTAATCCTTCAAAGTCCAGCAGGCTCACGTAGGTGTCTCTGCTTGATGGGTCAGTCTGGAGAGCTGGTGTCAGCTGTCGGGGCCAGGGAAGGGAGTGAAGTATGAAGCTTGACATTTAAAACAGCTTATTTGAGGTGCTCGGTGGTGATTTGTGTGAAAATGGGAAGTAGCTCCTGCAATTGAGCTGAGCTCTGAACAGCTGGTGGTTACACACAATTTATGCAAAAAATCACCATGTGATTTTTTTGAAGCTCATATATGGGAACATCTTCAAGATCATGGTCTTCCATTTCAGACTGAAGTTTCATGAAAGGATGGTTATAAATATTTAGCAGTCTTGCCCTTTTCAAATTCTGTGCAAATGCACACTCCTGTGGCATAGTGTATGATTTGGGGAACACTTAGGATTATTAGCACTATTTTACAGTGGCTGAAATAATAAAGCTATGTCAACAATCCATACAGCCTTTAAAAGTAGTAAGAGCTGCACAATGTTTTGTTGATTATCTTATATGGAACATGTTCTACAAAAAAAATCATGGCTTTGGTAGAAGTGCTTTGTCTGCCCTATGTCCCTTGATCATGGGGCCTTTCCTATAAACACTGTGCAGATGGAAGGACAACAAAGCCGCCTCCTAAAACTGATGGTGGAATTGCTTACCTGGATAAACATGACTAGTCTGTTTCCCAGTTTAATTTTGATCCTGTACTTCAATTCCTGGGTTTTGTTGCTTTAGGCAAACTGGAAAGTCTGCTCCGTCAGCTCACGCAGTTGCTCCTGAAGTCAGACAGTGTGTTTTTCTCTTTTCTTTCTGTAGTTACCGTGCTAGCAATATTTAATGAGCTGCATGCTGATGTCGATCTCTATGCCCTTCTGTTTGGGGAGAGCGTGTTGAATGACGCTGTTGCCATTGTATTATCTTCGTAAGTAACCATCTAAATTTCTACTCTGAAATCACTTAATTGCTTTTGGTATTTGTCTAAAATAAATGCTTTTTCTGAGAAATGTTATTTTGAATTTAAATGAATTGTCTTGAACTGAATTAATAAACATTGCAAACATTTGCCAAGATCCCTCAGGCATACGTACACCAGAAAGGCAAATTTGCCTTCAGTAGGGGATTGTCTCTTCTGTTGCTCAGGTGTTGCTGTTAGGGAATAAAACTTTTCTGATGCTACTTCTAACTTCTCATTGTGTTAATCTCTTTCTAGATCTATAGTTGCCTACCAGCCAACAGGTGAAAATACCCATGCTTTTGATGCAGCAGCGTTTTTCAAGTGTGTTGGTGTTTTCCTGGGAATATTCAGTGGTTCTTTCATGATGGGAGCAGTGACAGGGGTTGTGACAGCTCTGATATCCTTTTTCACATTTAGCTCTTCCAGACTAGATGCTACATTTGGGTACTAACAGAGCTCACCTGTTTCCAACTATAGCAATGTTGACACTAGCTTGTTTTAATCCGAGTGTGAAGATGTGCTCAGTATTCATGTAACCTTTGTCTATAGAAAGGTGTATAAGTACCCACAGAAATCACCTCTTTCCAATATAACTGTGGCCACACTAGGAATTTTACTGATGTTCATGCATGCTCCAAGCCAAGGGGAGGCCCTAAATGGGCATGTCCTAATATTCAGGGTTTTTTTAGGAAATAAAAAAATGTTTTTTTTATTATTAAGCTTGAAAGACATCTCATATGATAACTGGTGTTTGATTCTGTTGTCAGAATAATCATTAATAGCTATTTCTGACCCCACAGGGTTCTTTCTGAGAGTTCTGCATTTAACCTTTCTGCTGGAAATCTGATGTCATCTGTCTTGGATAAGACTGTATCTCTACCAGAGTTAACATCATAACATGATGTGCTTTGCATGACCTGTCCTGCTCGCTTGAAGCTTACTGCTACTGTTTGATTAGAACTCTGAGGCGCTCAGCAAGCGATCTGTGTGGGTTTTGTTTTAGGCTGAGGTAGTAGACCTTATTAAGCCTGAACTGCTCCAGAAATTGTCATGCTTCTTGAGGGGAAAAATTCAAATTCTCTGCTTTTAGACCAGCTAGTATATTTGTACACATCCTAGATTGCTTTGATCCACCTAGGTTTCTGAAAACTGATCTAAAAGGGGTAGAATGTGATATTTTATACAATAAACATGAACCCCGTGATTCTTCATCTTAAGGAATAATGTCTCAACTGTGTCTTGTTATATACACACTGTGCAGATTTGTCCGATATATGTCTGCATAATGGTAACCCTTCAGGTATAAGGGGTAGATGTGCTGTGATGCTTTATGTTCGGTCTTCCAGTTCCACTGTTCTGCAGTCGATGTGGTCCAGAACCATGACTCTTCATCTGGCTTTTAGGCTACTGGCCATCTATAGCTTTAGCTGATCAAATACTGTTGCTGTGGTTTTTGGCTTGCTGGTTGGCTACTAATTACAGCTGAACTGCATTCAGATCCATTTTGTAAAATCATGCTTCTGAAGCAGCAATTGGTTCTTGCTGTTTTTAATGTTTGTGCTCAGGAGGGTGCATGACGCTGGGAGTGGGGAGGCTGTTCAGAAAACAGCCTCTGTGGGTTGTTGTGGTGGTTAGTTTGGTTCTTTTTAAAAAGAAAACAACAAAACACAACAAAAATCCCTAAATTGTTGCTCAGTTATAAAATTTTAACTATTTTCTTTTGGAAAAATACTTAATGTCATGCAGTACTGTAGAAGCAAACCATAAATTTGCATTTTACGCTTCATAGCTGGTTAGAACCCATAAGTTACGTCATGAATGAAGTGAATAGAGTGTTGTTCCTGTAGCTGTGAAGTACCTATAACTGTACCTCTCTACAGGTGAGGGGTTTCATGCAGTCATGCATTGTCCTTTGAAAACAGACAGATCGCTTAGTTTCCAAATGTGATGCAGATAATATACATGGACTTGTTCTGGCTTTCAGCAAGCTGTCTTGGCCTCACTGTCTGCGGTTATTTTTATAACAGTTAAGGTATTGTACCACTTTGTATTTTCTTTCTAAATTGCAGAATCTGCCTGGTTGAAATGAAGTGAAGCAGAAGGCCATGCCTAAGGAATAAAGAAAGAAAGTTATCTTTCCTTTAATGTTTAAGTTAAGAAAACAAACAAATAATAATTTAAATTGAATTAACACTTCAATTTGGTCAATTATTATATGAAATAATAAGATGATTTTTTTTTCCTTTCCTTTCTCTCACCCTCCTCTTACTCCAGATTGATGAGCACAGGTTTTCACTTCAGATTTAGTGAAATGTTTTGGTATGGCTAGTTACAATAGCAGCAAGGGGAATAAAGAGTTTCATTCACAAAGCTGCCAGAAAAGACTGGAAATGGGGAATCTGTTCTGACAAGGGCTCTTGCCTAACTTCAGGGGAACAAGGTTCAACCTCTTCCTCTCCCGTGGAGTGACTGTGGCTATCCAGTTTCCCAAACATTCATGAATGCCTCTTGCGCGAGGCAGTGGGATACACTTGTGGTGGGATTATCCGAGTGCTCTGTGGGAAGACGGGTTTTAGTTGTTGCTCTGGTGGATGTTGCTGCTTCAGAAGCACGAAGTTAAAGAATGGGTCTGTTTAGAAGGGGAAAAAAATAATCTAGCTCAGTGTAACAGTACATCCTCAAAAGTTTTAGAGAGGTGGTTTATATGGACAAGTGACTGTGAGGAGAATAACAGCTGTTTAAAAAAAATGCTGAGTTTTATATTTGGTGTAATGTCAACTGTCATGGAGATATGTATATATATATATATTTTTTTTTTTTTATCATGGTTTGCGCTTTGGTTTAGAGTGCAGCCTTCTGACAAAGCAGGGTGTTAATCACTTGTGGTTTGTTGTGAATGCCGTATTCTGTGATAAAGCCCACAGGAGACTGTTTCCGCTGAGTCTTCTGGGCTGCCTGACTGCTGCTTGCAGGAGGCAGCCAAGAGTGCTGTGAGCCCTGGACCACCCAGGGCCTGTGAATTTCCTTGTGAAAAGCAGTGCTGCTCATTGCTTTTAACATCCCTATCCCATATTGAGCCATGACTCCCCAAGCAGCAGGGCTGCCATTAGCTTTAGATTGTGTAGTGCTACAGAGAGCCCAGGATGCAGCTGTGTTACACATGGAGAGCAATGGTGGATGATGGCGCAGCCTTGATGTGGCCATTGATTGCCTTCAAACAGTAAGCACTTTCTCCTGCTCATATGAAGTGTCCTTGCTGTGCTCTTGCTGCCCTCCCACTTGGATTTAAGAGAAGACTGTGCTAGTTGTCAGGTTTCAGAAAGACCAGGGATCTCTCTACCACCCCTGTTAGCACGTGGTTTCTTTCTGTGTCTTCTAGTAGAGTTGCACATAGCTGTCTGCACCTCAGGTACAGTGAGCCCTTCAGTGTTTACCTGCTACCAGAGTAGTAATGGGGGGGGGTGGGGAGGGAAATTCTATAAATACGTGAACGGCTTTTTTGTAGTATGTGAAGAGCTATATTTAACACTACTGAAATCTGTTCCGTTTCTTCAGTAGCTCTGTGAACTGTTAATTCAGTGTGTGTTTGACGTTCCTCAAGTTTTGCTCACCTCTGGAAAATGAACTTGTTTTTTCTTCCCATTGAAAGACTGAGCTGCTGTGATTGAGTTGGCTTTTACTCTAAAACATATCAACACAGGGAGAAGAAATATATTTTGTTGTAGGCATAATTTCTGTTTTGCCTCAGAAGTACAGAAGTAGCCGTGCTTGCTGAAAAAGACTTGTCAACAAATCTGAGCAGGAAAATTCTGGTAAAGCTACTTCATCTTAGGGTTGCTGTAGTCAAGAACAGCCTTGTGAATTAAATGCTTCTGAATGTATTTTATGCTTTATTTAAAGATGGGGGGGGGGAGGGCATAAGATGACACACACTAAACCCAAAACAAAACAAAAAAACAAACCCCAAGACACACATTTTAAAAGGAACGCCAGGTATATATACCTTCTCTGCTGGCACTGTGCAGGGGAATGTGGCATAGAGTAAGATATTATCTCAAACAGGTGGAGCCACAGTTACGCCATGGATATGCAGCAAAAATATCCAAAACTGACTGTTGCAAGGGGAGACCTTGATTCTGGAGTTTGTCTTGATGTGATGAAATTGATGTTTTTCAGCACTAAAAGTGTTTTGTTTTCCAGCTAGTGTTGGTTGTTAGTGCGTAAGTGTTTTTCATAAATACTGGGTACAGAGAAGCCAAAGGATTTGTTTTTTGATCCCTTAACAAACGACTTAACGTGACGAAGTTTACAAAGTTGCACTGCTTCCCCCTGCTGGAAACAGCTCTCTTCTTCTTGATGTCCTGGAGCACTTTCTTGCTTGCAGAAGCTTGTGGATTTACTGGTGAGTTGATGGGATTCAAGCACATGGAGACAGAAGTCCTGTCTGTCTTAGCAGCCCTTTTTCCACTTTCTTGCTGAAACCTTCCGATGAGAAACAAGGTGTTGGTGCTTAAGCTTTTCTGTGTTCTGTACAATGCCATCGAAGGTGCAGCTCGCTGTGTGGCTTCTAAAAGCACTGGTTTGATTCACACGCCAACTCCCCCCTGATTTCACCCTGGAATCTAACTCAGTTGAAAATAAGGTTCATAAAATCTCAAGGTTAAGGATGATGTATAAATTTAATAGAACTTGAGGAAGGTAAATGTGTTGAGCTCATACAGTAAACAGGATGATTTTTACATGTGATTCTGTTCACAGGTGTGGTGGCTGTCCTCTTCTGTGGAATTACCCAGGCGCATTATACATACAATAATTTGTCAGTTGAATCAAGAAGTCGCACTAAGCAGGCAAGAGTGTCTTCCACCTTTTGTACACTGTATTGCTGTAGTATTCTGTGTATGATTGTTTTTGAAAAGCAGCTTTATTGCTTGGTCGTTAACATGTGACTGTTTTCTCCCTAGCTCTTTGAGGTATTGCACTTCCTGGCAGAGAACTTCATATTTTCTTATATGGGTTTGGCACTGTTTACTTTCCAGAAACACATATTCAGCCCAGTTTTCATCATTGGAGCTTTTGTATCCTTTTTCACTTTGTGTGAGGTTTCTCTTATCTTATGTGCCTGAAAAGTAGTGGTGTCTGTTGGCTTTACCAAATAGAGGATAGCGGCTGACCTGAGTTCCCCTCATGTCTTGCAGGTACAAGAATTTTGAAAACAATCTTTGGTTACCCCTTACGTCAAATCCCTAAGGCCTCTGCGCCACACAGTTGTTGGCTCTGTAGCTGAGCAAGTGCTAGAAGTCGTATAATTTTGGCAGATAAATAAATGAATGCGCTTTACTGTGTGACTTGGCTTATTGACAGTCAGCAGTGCTTGTGTTGCTCTTGTGTTTGAACTTCAGGGACCTAGAAAGGATTCATTTTTTCTCTTCACTTCCAACGATCCCTTAAAGAAAGCATAAAACCTGAAGTAAATAAAGAGAATCATGGGCAAAAAAAATGTTTTTGAGCAGTGCCCCCAAGGCAGAGGTCAAGTTCTCAGGTGATGGGAGGAGGAAGGAACTGAGCTGTGGTGCAAACCATGACATGAAGGGTACACGCTGCTGAAAGGTGCTGGTGTTGGAGGTGGGTATCCAGTTCCCATTGTCCCTGGCTGACTTAGTACCTGGCTCTTGAATTCCTCAGAACTGAACATTTTTGTGTAAGTCACACTCATGTATGCTGGGAATCACTAGATTCCTCTCTGCACCCCACCCCTGTTGAAATAGCTTATGTACCTATTTCTTCACTATATTCCTGGCTGATTGGAAATTCAGGGCAATTAAAAGTGTGCATGAAGCAGTAGGAACTAGTCTTCCAGTCTTGATTTCTCTCTGCCTGCTGTGGGAGTAATGGTATCAGCAATGAGATAAAACCTAGTGAAAGGGCATATAAAGATAGCCTAATCCAGAACGTATTTCTTTTCTCTCCTTTTTTCCACTGTTTGCTCTCATCTCTGTACTGCTTCTAGGGATTTATCACATTTGTCTTTATTTTCTTTTGGCCATTTACTTTTTTCTGAAACAGTAATACATTTTCTCCTGTGTCTCCTCATGTCCGTTCTTCTGACCTAAAAAATGCTCCAGAGCCCTGCAGCCATCGGATAAAGATGTGAACAGAATAGTTGCGTCTGATATACTAAACGTAGTAATTTTTCATCTTTGCTGTTGCCTTCTGTCTCAGGTTATGCTATCTCTTGGGTTTGTTTTCAGTATTTATTTTGTTCCTTTCTCTTCCTACCCACCTACCTTGTATTACATTTTTCACATCTTTTTCTACCACTGCGCTTAACCTCTGTTGCTTCTTGAGTGCTCCTCTACCTTTGTGAGGAGGGCAGCTAGTACTAGCATCCACGTTTTGCTGCAACAGCTACTGTCCCCTTTGAGTTAACACCTTGTGGGAGTGAAATGTAGAGGCATCGTTAGCTGTTGAAAGGTTGGACTGCAAAAGCAGGGCTAAAGCCTCAGTATCGTTGACAAAATCCTAGCCATTATTCCTACATACATTGGTCGTGATGGCTTCTGATGTCCGATTTCTGCAGTCCTCAAAAGGACTGCTGCAAAAGTTGTTTGGAATAATTACATGAAGCTTTTTGTACAAAGTGATGATCAAGATCTTATTTTCTTAGAGACACAATTTCTTGCTGACAGTATTGCTTTACATTAGCTATGGCAACAACCCAGTGGTGTCTAGAGCTCTTATGTGGTTTTATTTCTTTTCCATAAGAGAGCTGTTTCATTCTTCTAACGTTGTTATCCCAGCAGCAAGTGATCAGTGTTTGGTGGGCTTCTGGTTGTGTCGGTGTTTTATAGGATTTCAACACATCACTCTAGTTTGTCCCAAAGTGTTCCTTAGATGGTGGAGGGTGTATTCAGCTTTCTGCTTCTTCACTGGAGCCGCTGGATGTTTTATACCACAGTAAGGGAGGGAATGAGCTTACCACCTACTGTCATGAATTTCTGCAATACTCTTTTACTACTCTCTTTGAACTTCATTCTAGTGCTGACAAGTGGCTTTTGGATTTATCATCTTAGTAACTGTTCTCTTAAGTGCTTGCCAGCCAGTAGGAGATTTTGCCTCTGCAGGAGCCGTAATGGAGTGGCCACTTGCTGGTCTTCTGTTGGTTTTCCTTCTGTACATAGGACCGCATTTCTGTTGGTCTGAAACACATAATCGAATGGTGGTGCTGATAGTTGTTTAAAGTGTGAATTTTTAAAGTAAAGTCTTCATTTGTACAACTGGTAATTTTAATACTAGGTATAATTTCACTGTGCATTAAAAACTTGGTTATATTAGTTGAAATTTGCATTCTGTGGAATGAGTTCTGTGTGCACATAACTGATGAAAGTCTGTTTTATATAGACAGAGATAACAAGAACACTTGATATCATGATGTAAACCTCTCACTAAAACAGAAGCTTTGTGTTAGAGCTGGGTACCCAAGAGTGCATATCTCAGGACAGTGAAATCCTTAACCCTCAGCTGTGAACAGATTGCAATCTTTTTGGGCAGAGCTGCACACATCTACCCTCTCTCCTTCTTGTTGAATCTGGGCAGAAGGCATAAGATCAGCTGGAACTTTCAGCACATGATGATGTTTTCAGGTAAAAGCAAAAATGTTTGCTAAAGCGAAAAATCTTATTTTTTTAACTCATAAGCAATTTGTAGTACTACCTTCTGCTTTTATAATCCACATCGGTGCATCCTGAATAGAAGGCTTAATGGTTCTTGCAGCATGCCATCATGTATCTTTCAACATTTACAGAAAGTGTGTCATGTCTGGGAAGAGTGACATCTTGAAATGCCAGCTGATGGCAGTAAGCAGTCACCTCATGTTGGGAATAGGGTATTTTCATTTGAAGTGCATCTGAAGGGGATGGGGGATTTGGGATGTATCTCTTCCAGAAGGTTATTTGTAGCTGAGATGATGTACATGCTTGTTGTGGTTTAACCTGGCAGGCAGCTAAACACCACAGAGCCCTTCACTCCTTCCCCACCTGCAGTGGGAGCAGGGAGAGAATCAGAAGAGCAAGAGTAAGAAAACTCATGGGTTGAGAGAAAGACAGTTTAATGGGACAGAAAAGGAAGGGAAAATAACAATAGAATATACAAAACAAGTGATGCACAATGCAGTTGCTCACTGCCTGCTGACCGATGCCCAGCCCACCCCCGAGCAGTGATTGCCGCCTCCTGGCCAACTCCCCCCAGTTTATATACTGGGCATGATGCCATACGGTATGGAACAGCCCTGTGGCCAGTTGGGGCCAGCCCCCCTGGCTGTGCCCCCTCCCAGCTTCTTGTGCACCTGGCAGAGCATGGGAAGCTGAAAAGTCCTTGACTGGTGTAAGCACTGCTCAGCAACAACTAAAACATCAGTGTGTTATCAATATTATTCTAAATCCAAAACACAGCACTGTGCCAGCTACTAGGAAGAAAATTAACTCTATCTCAGCTGAAACCAGGACAGCATTGTGCAGAAACTGATGTCTGCTGAGAAAATCAAGGTGTATTTATGGGTGCCCTCTCCCACTTAGTTGGAGAAAGCAGAATATTTGACTTAGACTCCTTTACGATTTCTGTCACACAGATAACTGTTTAAGTTTGTCATTTAAAGCAAATCATGGAGTGTGTTTGTGTGTCTAAACGTGTATATCCTCAAAAAGTGCCAGGGATGCCTCTGTATGCAAGAGGGTGTAAAGAAGAGGGAGCCAGGCTCTTTTCAGTGGTGCCCAGTGACAGGACCAGAGGCAGGGGGCACAAACTGAAACACAGGAGGTTGCCTCCGAATGTCAGGGAACACTTTTTACTGTGTCCAAGCACTGGCACAGGTTGCCCAGAGAGGTTGTGCCGTCTCCATCCTTGGAGATATTCAAAAGCCATCTGGACGTGGTCCTGGGCAACCTACTCCAGGTGACCCTGCTTGAGCAGGGGAGTTGGACCAGGTGACTTCTAGAAGTCCCTTCCAACCTTAACCATCCTGTGATTCCCCCACTAAAGAAGTCTGCAGATGGCCAAATGCCATGGCTTGTCCTTGCTAGTGGAGTTGCATAATTGGCAGGGGAGTCAGGGGGAATGTAGTCTGCCTGTGAACATGTTATTAACTAGAATATTTTTCCAGCTGATAACAATTTCATATCAAGAACTTATGCTTCGGTTATGGAATCAACTGGAAAAGTGTGTATTTTCATTTGGATTCAGGGAGCTGCTTGATTTCCACAATACACTTTGCTGTTGCCTGCAACTTGTTTGTTTCTGCATTTCTTCCCTGTTAGTGTCTGGAAATATTTACACCTTTTCTCAGCACTTGTGGATTCTATAAGTTACAGAAAACTACCAGGGCAAATTATGTTCTAAATCATCCGAGGGCATAATTTATCAGGAAAACTGAGGGAATTAACACCTGCCGGAGCCCAGTGCTTTCTGCCTGACACTTTTCCTTGACTGGTGTAAGCACTGCTCAGCAACAACTAAAACATCAGTGTGTTATCAATATTATTCTAAATCCAAAACACAGCACTGTGCCAGCTACTAGGAAGAAAATTAACTCTATCTCAGCTGAAACCAGGACAGCATTGTGCAGAAACTGATGTCTGCTGAGAAAATCAAGGTGTATTTATGGGTGCCCTCTCCCACTTAGTTGGAGAAAGCAGAATATTTGACTTAGACTCCTTTACGATTTCTGTCACACAGATAACTGTTTAAGTTTGTCATTTAAAGCAAATCATGGAGTGTGTTTGTGTGTCTAAACGTGTATATCCTCAAAAAGTGCCAGGGATGCCTCTGTATGCAAGAGGGTGTAAAGAAGAGGGAGCCAGGCTCTTTTCAGTGGTGCCCAGTGACAGGACCAGAGGCAGGGGGCACAAACTGAAACACAGGAGGTTGCCTCCGAATGTCAGGGAACACTTTTTACTGTGTCCAAGCACTGGCACAGGTTGCCCAGAGAGGTTGTGCCGTCTCCATCCTTGGAGATATTCAAAAGCCATCTGGACGTGGTCCTGGGCAACCTACTCCAGGTGACCCTGCTTGAGCAGGGGAGTTGGACCAGGTGACTTCTAGAAGTCCCTTCCAACCTTAACCATCCTGTGATTCCCCCACTAAAGAAGTCTGCAGATGGCCAAATGCCATGGCTTGTCCTTGCTAGTGGAGTTGCATAATTGGCAGGGGAGTCAGGGGGAATGTAGTCTGCCTGTGAACATGTTATTAACTAGAATATTTTTCCAGCTGATAACAATTTCATATCAAGAACTTATGCTTCGGTTATGGAATCAACTGGAAAAGTGTGTATTTTCATTTGGATTCAGGGAGCTGCTTGATTTCCACAATACACTTTGCTGTTGCCTGCAACTTGTTTGTTTCTGCATTTCTTCCCTGTTAGTGTCTGGAAATATTTACACCTTTTCTCAGCACTTGTGGATTCTATAAGTTACAGAAAACTACCAGGGCAAATTATGTTCTAAATCATCCGAGGGCATAATTTATCAGGAAAACTGAGGGAATTAACACCTGCCGGAGCCCAGTGCTTTCTGCCTGACACTTTGCCTGTGTGGCAGGGAGGGAGCAAGGAAAGATGCTGTGTTATACATAGGCACGGTTGCGCTTCTGAAGCTCTGCTGTTTCATTCTTTTGCATAGGTCTCAGGGGAGCCATGGCGTTTGCTCTGGCTATACGAGATACTGCTACCTACTCACATCAAATGATGTTCTCAACAACTCTCCTCATCGTCTTTTTCACTGTGTGGATTGTTGGTGGAGGTACAACTCCCATGCTGTCATGGCTGAACATCAGGTCAGTATGCAACTGTATGCTGGGGAAACTTCACTTTTCAAGTGGCAACTGTGCTAATCAGGCATTGACCTACAGAACTTGCTTGGTGCTTGCTAGAGGTGTTCTAGGTATTTAGAACATTATGTTTCATAGAGGAAGGTGCTAGTGCAGGCTGGTGAAGCAAATGTACTGATGCTGCTGGGATTCAGCCTAAAGCTCTCTGATGCTCTGCAAGTAGGTATCGAGGTCCTTGTCAGCCCAGTAGGATATGGAATAGTGTTGCCTGATACAGCAGCCCCTATATTGAAAAGAAAGAATTAATCTGTCTAGTCCCATATAAACTTCTCTTCATACTAAGACATTTCCCTGTCTTTTGGCTCTCGGTAATGGACCTGTTATGTTTTTTAAGTTAAATAGAGTCTTTAGTGGGTGGTGCTAAACTGAATGCACTTTAAACATCTACCCAAAGAAACCTGATGTTATCTAAACAACTGCAATAAATGGGATCCTGCTAGTCTTCTGGGCGTGTTTCCTCCTGTTTTGAGGAGACCTGTGAAAATGGTAAGTAGCATGATTATAGACATTTGTCTGTAAATCCTGGCCAATACTTAGTACTTTCAGGCTGCAAGTACATTCATGTTTGAAGATACTCATCAACAGAAGTGCTAGAGAATCGTGAATCAGTCATTGTTAAAGACTGCATATGGTACCATTCTGTGGAATATTTGGCAGTTGGGGGGATGAAGGTAAACAGAGTGAAATTAAAACAATACATGCTATACAAACCCTTCAATGTGTTTTTCACGTGTAAATTATTTGTGTTCTTTGGCACTTGAAAGCTTACTTTGTCTTGCTTTCTAATTGAGTTAACTAGGATTTGTATCTCATTGTCTTGTGATAGGATAGGAAAAAACAATCTCGGGTAAAACCAGTTTCAGTCTTTGGAAGAACTGATCGTTCTTAGGGACTGGTGCTGCTTTTGGAAAACTTAAGTGAACTGCTCGTGGCAATAGATAGCAGGTGCTTTCTAGGTTGGCAAAAAAAAAAAATGGGTAGGACTCCCAGAAACACTTGTGAACTCTTCTCATTGAAAGTAGCATGCTTCCAGTCAGAGACAGGCATTGCAGCAGTGATTTACAGTATCTTAGCTCTGACTAACAGCAAACATTGGGAAATCATTATTTCCTTTTTTTGGTGCTAAATGAATCCATTTCTGTCCTTTAAAACTGTCTTTAAATGCAAGTTCCAGCTGTTTGGCTAGCACACCAGAAAGAAGCATCACTTCCGTATAGTCAGGCTCTCCGAAGGCTGTGTTGCTAACAAGAGGTAATGCAACACCTGGTGGGAAGTCAACAACAAAAACAATTCCAGTGCAGTTGTGTCATTAACGATTGTGAGATACAACATAACGATATTTCTGAGCCCAGCCGGACTGGTTTCTGTTCCCACATGAGAGCTATGTAGCGACTTTAAAAAGGTACCTGGAATAGGTGCCATGTGCAGCTGTCCATTTGGCACCTCTGACAACAGGAGGAGATCTCTGTCTGATGGTGATATATAAGGAACAACTGTACTAATACACCCCCACAAGCAGGGCAGGCACAGTGTATGCATAACCGGCAGTGTGCATAGACTGTCCAAGGCATGGGGTACAAGGGAGCGGGAGATGAGTTCTGGCCAGCAGTATGCAGGTAAGAATGCTGCTTGCAGTCTGCTTGCAATGGCTGAGCAAAGTCTGCCAAGATCTGCCTGCAGCCTCTGCAGTGGCCAGTGTGACGATATCCCCTGTCTGATCTCCACTTGAGTGGATTCCAAAGCATCTTCCAAAGCATGGCTGCAACCAGGTCAACAAAACTGACTCTAACAGCTCTCACCATAGGTGCTGGCATCCTGAGCCTTCTGCCCTGCTGCTTGCACCTCTTTTGTTGAGGGAGCATAGCTGAAGATTTCCTTCAAACCTTGTCATCTAGCAAGGGACAGGATGTGCTGCTGAACAACTAAGTGAAGAGGAATTGTGTTCAGTCTGCCTGTATCAGAAGGCACCTTCTGAGTGCAGTCAACCATTCTCTCTGCCACGGGGCTCCTTCAGTTGTCAGCAGTAGGACAGGACTGAGTTCTAACATGTGGCCCCAGCTCCTGGCCAACTGGAAACTAGTTCTGAGGTAGCAGCTTCTTATTTTTTTTTCCCCTTTTCTTTCCTCTCCATCGAGCCGAGGAAGCAGTTTGTGCAAGCATCCAAGCATATGCACTTACTCTTGTAGCAGGACTAATCTGGTTCAGCAATGAGAGTCCCTGAGCCTGGCTGATGGGTTGTTCCTGAAGGGAGCAAGGGCTAACACCGTGTCCATTCCAGGCTTGCCCTTTGGTTAGGCTATACTTGCAAAAATCATTGATGTGTCCAACAAGGCAGAACAGCTGGAAAGGCGATGATACCATTCCTAGAGGAGCAGCTGACAAAAAGCAGTTGGTCGAACCATAGTTTTGAGTGTTTAGCTGTAGGAGATTTACCCACCCTTGCTAGTAAGCAGTAATTTTAACTGCCATTTGTTTGGCATGGTTGACAGGAAATAAATGGTTAACTTCCCTATTAAGGGAAGGATATCATGTAAATAAGGGAACTCTACATAGGCAGTATTTTAGAGAACTGCATGGGTCTGCCTACAGCTGCCTTGATAGGCACTGCTCTATTAGTGATGGAGACCGCGCTTTTTGAGACCACATGAAATCAGATTTGTGCCAGGAGGTGGCAGCCGTGTGCAGCTGATCGAGAATTAGAAACTGCTGAAGTACTCTCTGTGATAGAGCCCTTCTTTCTGCTGAAAAGCACGAAGTCCTGTCTGACCTTGCAGATTTAAGAAAGGGACAAATTAGTTTCCAGCTGAATTTTAGAAATATGCTGCTTTTCTCTTTTCCATCCCTTTCTACCCAGTGGAAGAGGTAGGCGGGAGGAGATGAAGATGAGATGCTGTCCCAGTGCCTCGCTCAGCAGCACTGTGTATAGTGCTGTGCAGTGGGTCACTTGTCCCCGGGGTGGCCTGGGATGCTTTCTGAGCCTTGGCACTTGGCCATTAGGTTAGATTGCAAGAGGCTGGAAATAAGTAGTGCTCCCATACAGGAGTATTTAGCAGAAAAGAGGTTAAAAGAAAAAAGGTGGTTTGCTTCCTAGATTAAGTGAAGAGACGTAGGAAACTAATGCCATTTGTGTGTTGGACTTAAATGTCAGGATTTGCGTGGACTCCTAAAAGTCCGGCTCTGGTGTGAAGTTCACACCAGTTGTATCCTGGTTGACTTTGGCCTTTGTGGAAGGAAAGACGGAAAGCCAGTCAGCCATTACAAAGTCCTCATGAAGTAGTTGGCCTTGCTGCAGTGTGGAGGTGAGGAGAAGACAACGGCCTGCTTCAGTGAAGAGTCAACCAAGCTGACTGACCCTTTAGGCTGGTTTAGCTTGCCTGCTGATTGTGTGGCAGAATGGTGTTACTGTACTCCTGTGGGTAGTGGTCTGCCCATCAGTGGGGTTTCTGGGTGGCCCTGTCAATAGTTCCTGTGGGCTGTGGTGGGCTGAGCTGCGTCCCCAGGAACTGCAGGCACGTGTCTGTTGTACTGGGCAAGTCAGAGGAGCTGAGACAGGCATCAACACCAAAGGGTCTTATTTAAGGTTGTACCTGCATGATTTAAGTGGAACAGTACTAGAGAGCTGACTTCAGCCAAGATTTTCAGCCTGGCTTGATACCACTACGTTCACGGGGAGGCAGTTGTGTGCACACATGGGGCGATGCCTACACAAGGATCCAGAATCGCTTTGTTGTGGCTCAGAGGCACATGCCTCTGGCCACACCATTAATTGCATAGCAACTGCGATGCGTGCTTTGTTCTTTACTTCTGGTGGTCTCTTCTCTCCCATGATGTGAAATGTATTAAAAGTAGGTGAGGGATAGACAGGCAAATATGAAAATTAAGTTTTGATAAAGTAAAAAGCAGTATAAGGAGGAAAATAGGCAAAAATGCCCTCTGCCTCCCCTTGCTCTGTTCTGAATATCTCAATCAGAAGACCGGGTATCTTTCCAGATAGGGTATGTTACCAGTGTACCAGGGTCCACTGATCAGGCTTAAATGTACAGCTAAGCAGAAGACCTACGGTTTGTAGCAGATTTAACTTTACTGCTTAATTGGTTGGGAACATGAGGTAATGACAGCAAAATCCAAGTAAAAAATAGTGGGATCTTTAGATGCTTTTGGTTTCTGCCACTTGGTGCTAAGCAAGTTAAAAATTAACGCCAGAAACTGGAGTTAAAGCCATGATGTTATGTGTTTGAATTTCTTGGCTGTCTATCAGTGAGACGTATCCAAGCATGAGAGTGGTAAACAGTTACTTTTATAGTAGTAGATTTTTTTTTCTTAGAACCTACAGCATGACTTGGATATTAAAAATGTAGTCTCATCCTTTGAGACTAGAACAAAGGAACAGTTTCCTGCCTGAAGTTTTAACAATTTCAGCAAACTTGAGAGCCCTGTAAATCAAAACCACTGGCAAAGTTCCTCTTTTCAGAAAAGTAGCTGACTTATCGTTTCATTTATCTGTCACAGGAAAAAAGGGAACTCCTAGCATTTGTATTGCAAAATAATGTTTTCTCCATTTTTCATTAGAGGTTATTGACCTGATTCTTTTCATGTTGAATGAAGCAACATGTAGATTAATGCCTTCCTCTTCTTCATAATCTGCTTCAAATGAGGAAGTTTGTTTATTTTAATGAAGTAATTTCAGTTATACTTAGCAACCTTTTTCTAAATCTTAAAGCATTATAGCTTTCAATTTAAAATGTTTTAAGTATCTTTCTACTGTAAAAGTTAAAGGCTGCACAGACAATGTCAACTTAGATATTTACTGCCTTATGTCTGACTTTGCAAATACAATCTTTTTAAGTTTTCTGTTTAGTGATTTTTTTAAATTTTTTTTTTCTTTAAATGAGCAAATTGAAAAAAATCTGGAAACACTAACGCTCACACAGCTGCTATGTGAACTACCTAACTCTCTGGGATGGTGGTAAAACTGACAGCTTGGTGGCAGTCTCAGGTTATACTCTATTGTATTACCCGGGGTGGTCCAACAATAAAATGTGCATTTCTTAAATACCATGCCTCAGCGTGCTGCGATGGCAAGAGGCGAGTGTTGATGCTGGGATCCAGCCTTCTGTTATGTTCTGGACTGGAGTGGGGGATGTCTGACAGGAGGTTACACCCTTCTGTTTTGCAGCCTGTTTCCATCGTTGTAGAACTTGGATCCTTCGCTGCCTTCTAGCTGTTCTCTGCTGCCCTTGAAGGGCAGATGCACAGACACAGGTGCTGTCCCTCGCCCTCCGTTGTGGGCTTTTTCCTGTCACCATATCTTCTTCTGCACTGTTTTCTCCAGTCGTCTTTCCC